ATTCATTTTCATGATAAATCTCGTTCTTAGTCATTTAATTAAGCTAATTTCCAATTTTGTTTACTAGTTTCGCTTTCTTCATATTTTTTAAAAAAAAATATTGTAGTTGTAAAAACGTTTTTTTGTTTGAATTAATTTTACATTCAATTAAAAAAAAATCCAATTTCAAATTAAGAGATCACTATTGGTTAGCAAAAAAAAAAACCACTAAACATTAAAAAAAAAGATAATATTAACATATTATCTTAATCATCAATTTTCATTGGCTATCTCGACGTTAAATGGTTCATACTCTCCATATCTTTTTCCCTAATAACAACATTTACGTACCTCGTCTATCGTAGGTTGCACACCGCCAGATCTTCCTAGCGAACTCATTTCTTGTTCGATGTCTTGCATAATTCCCCACAAATTTCGGAAGATAATTTGCATATAGCTTGGTAGATCTTCAGTGGCTCCAATATCCCACCTAGCCATTAATTCTATAAGACTAGAAAGATCAACTCAAGATAGAAATCCAACAATAAAAAGATTGTACCTTTGTAAAGCATCAGTGAAACTTATGACTTCGGGAAGAGTGCCATAGGCGTCATATGTATCATCAACAATTGTCATGATCATGGAAATTTTAGTGCCTATAATTCTCGCAAGGGAATATCGTGGCTCAAAATATATACCCATCATGCCGAAATATATCTCTACATTTCTGTCCCGAAAGGTATTAGGCAGTTTAGACGCAAGATCTAGCTCCTTCCACCATCTACAATAAGTAGAAATAATTATATGAAATGATCAAGAGACCGATATAACAATATTAGATATGATTTGTGAAAATAGCTACAATGACTTTACGTAGTGACAGCTTTGAGCTCCTTGACGTAATGAAGCTGGCAATAGCTGAAGTTGAGCTTTGCAAACTTGAGCAGCTTCTCGTCGTGATCTTCTTCTTGTTCGTAAAAAGAGATATACTCTCTTGCAACTGCTATTTCTACGCAATGATATCGAGGTATGTACAATGCGTTCTGTATATGCTTAGAGAGATGTGGATGAGTATTAGTCACTGCCAAGTGATTCCTAGTGAAAATCCGCGCTTCCTCCATTATATCCTCATCTTTTGCTTTGAGATACGACGCTTGGTATAACTGCAACATTCCTCTAACATCTCCAACTAGACTTTCCTTGAATTTTCCATCGTGTTCGCCTTTGAATCTATCAAACACATCTATAATGATATAAGCATGCATAGATGTGAATCAAGGAAATTTTGATATAACCTCTTTTAAGTTCTTACCACAAGACATTTTATGTCCGTACAACCTGAAAACCTCAAACATAATAGAGATTGTTTCAAGATCATCTTCCTCGGCGATTAAGCCTTCAAGATTCTCAAAAGCATTCTTTAGAACCTCTTCGATTTCGTTTTCGAAATAATGAGAGATCGCTAGACTGATAAGCAAATGGATGAGACGAATCCTCTCCTTGTCACAAATACGAGAAGACACGAGCATGTCCTTTACATGCGGTTTCATAACTGATTCAATCTCATGTTCAATCTTATCAAATTCCTACAAAAATATGATGT